AAAGCATATATGTTTAGACAGGTCTTATAAAAATTTCATCAATATGGATCGAGTGGTTTGATTTCTAAATCGAAATCTTTGTTTTTGAAACGATTGAACACGGGTGTTTTTTTTTTTTTGTTTTAATGGAATAAAATTTATTTTTTTGTTTAACTTGTTATCCGTACGTAGTTTCCACCACGGCACATTAAATTAGATATCCTTATTGGTCCCCATAAAGTACAAGTCGTGAAGCTCTGCATAAAACAACGCAATAGACTGGCTTTCTTATCGCAACAAGCTATAAAAACATTACGTGCGATGCATGGTACCTACTAGAGTGGTTTTATCAGGCTAGCGGTCTTTTTGACCCGTCATACACATTCAGAGGGTTTTTTTTTTAGTGGGTGATAATGGAATGGTAACTCCACCCGCGCTATTGGTATACACTGGCAGGGTACCAGTGAAGGATGATAGATGAAGTAGGTCAGTTAGCCCATCGTGACGAATTCAACAAAAATTGTTCACTATGGTTTCCAGGGGAACCACGTGGAGGTCGACCTGATAGGGCATATTGCTAGCAATATCGAACTTCATTGCTAACAATCCCTTTCCCCCCTCTAACACATTCAGAGGGTTAACACATCAACAATAGCTGGTAGATAATAACTTCATTTTGATCAAGTTAACTAATTAGATATTTTGGGGGGAAGGGGATTGTTAGTAATGGAGACTAAGAACCCCATTGCAATATACCTAACCAGGTCGACCTCCACGCGGTACCCCCTGGAAACTATCATGGTTTATTTTTTTTTGTTGGTTGAAAATGGTATGGTAACCCCGCCTGCGATAACGGGATACGCTGGCGGAGCACCAGTGAAGGGTGATAGATGAGAATGAAAACAGGCCAGTTAGCCTATCATGACGAATTCATCAGGAATTAACCATGATAGTTTCCAGGGAGAACCGCGAGTAGGTCGACCTGGCTGGTTATATTGCTAGCAATGGGATTCTCAGTCTCCATTACTAACAATCCCTTTCCCCCAAAAACTATCATTGTTAATTCCTGATGAATTCATCATGATGGGCTAACTGGCCTGTTTTCATTCTCATCGATCACCCTTCACTAGTGCTTCGCCAGCGTATACCATTAGCGCAGGCGGGGTTACCATTCTATTTTCTACTATAAAAAAAAAAAAAATTACACAACTGCCCAAAAAAGGAGTGTAACGTTTTTAGGGTTTGTGTCATCATCATTATATTGGGCTTTAATTGTCTACTTCGGAACATAAGCCTCTCCTTGGCGAGTTTTGTCAGTAGTTGCCACGCTTGGCAGGCGGATTGGCAACCGCAGTCAGCCTTTAGAGATGTTTTAAGAGGAACGCTGCTGCCCACCCCTCGCCCTGTCTTAGTCGCCTCTTACGACACTCACGGGAAAGAAAGGTGTGGCCTATTCCATACCTCCAGTGGGTATATGCCAATCTGCCTGCCAAGCGTGGCAACTACTGGCACAACTCAACCCAAGAGGGAAGCTTATGTTCAGTAGTGGACAGTTAAAAGCTGATATGATGATGAAGAACAACTCGATCTTCTCTTGCCCGCCGGATGATGTATTGGGCGGGCAAGGTAGGGGCCTCGGGGCGTACCCCATTACCTCGGCTTCTACTCCGGAGGCGACGACCACCGGGTCACTGGGGTTTCAGCCGGCATACACTGATGGTCTGTGTATGCCGGCATGCTGTCTTTATGATGATGATGAAGGCGACCTAGAAACTCCAATCACCAGAGGGCATCTGTATTTGATGAACAAAAAAAAATTTTTTTTGAAAATCACTGATCTCTATAAAGAGTTAAAATGTTTTTTTTTTTTTAACTTACTTTCCCATAATTTCCCATATAACAGTCACGTTCAATAAATTGTGGACTATTTGTCGAAGGTCCCGAATTTACATTTTAAAGTTATCGAATTACGAAAGCCGAGTATATGGATGATCCTCGTGAAATTTAAATGTGTTGAATTCGTGTGTGTGTTTTTTTTTAATACGCTATATTATTTGCACTATTTCGCCATAGTCGTAGAATACTGACGGATCGGGGGGAAAGGGATTGTTAGTAATGGAGACTGAGAATCCCATTGCTAGCAATATACCCAACCAGGTCGACCTCCTCGCGGTTCTCCCTGGAAACTATCATGGTTAACTGGCCTGTTTTCATTCTCATCTATCACCCTTCACTGGTGCTCCGCCAGCGTATCCCGTTAGCGCAGGCGGGATCACTATAGCATTTTTACCCATTAAAAAAAATACTGACGGATCTGACAAAGATTACATATAAAGATCCGTCACTATTCTACGACTATGACGATTTCTTTTTTATTTATTTTTATTTTTAATATTACATCTGGAATCAACAACTTATGTCTAGAATAATTAAAAAATATATATATTTACACTATGCATTAGCCAATTATTGATTCACAATTTGTATACTAGACAATATTATGATTATTTTTGGACTGTAGATAATTCGTAAAAAAAAAACAAAATTACAGAGATACTTATTTGAAATTTCAGCAATAATTAGTGTAAAAGTGTGTGTTATATGTGTGTGTAATGTTGCGTGAATGTGGTGTACAAAGAGACAGTGTCTTGAGCGCGTATTGTTTTGTATACACGAAGAGTTATATATGTTATATGCAGCTATTTTCATAATTTTAATAATGTATCATATTTTTTTATGCAACTTATAAACAAGCTGACGGCCCACCTGATTGAAAGTGGTAACCGTCGCCTATAGACATGAGCAGTACCATGGACATAACAGAGTATACTGTCTCGCCTATGATACCCCCCATGCGTTGCCATTCCTGAGGACTCAGGTGTTATTCCTCTGTACCCTGTAAATTCACTGCCATATTCCACCCTTCATACCGAAACACAGCCACGCAAACACAGCTGCTTCACGGTAGAAACACGAATGGGACAGATGTGCCCAAGTAAAAAACTTTAAGTTTCCCTCTGGTTAATTACACTTTATTATCATGACTATACAGAGATAATTATAATTGTATGTACATTACGAAATTTAGGTAAAACACCGTTAAGCGTCTGATAATGTCGTGCTTCAGTCACGTTATGAGGAATGAAAAGTACCTACAGAATATTCAGCTAATCATTCAAGACACGATTGTGGGTAAAAGAAAGTGCCAGGAGGAGGTGGCACTCCTGGGTACTACATAAACTTTTTTTATACCACTGAGGTAGCAAACAAGCATATGATCCACTTGATGGTAAGCGGTTACCGTCAGTGGCGTAACTATATCATTTGGGGCCTGTGGCAAATTCTTTTGATGGGGCCCTATCAATAAAAAAAAAACTCTTCACGTAAAATAAAATACTCAGGTATAATGAAAAAAAAAAATTCTGAGCTCGCGACTTGTTGAGCCGGGGACCTTTTAGGTCGGGGGCCCGTGGCATTTTGCTAGCCCTGCCACCCTATTGTTACGCCACTGGTTACCTTAACGCCAACAATACCAAGGATATTACGCGCATTATGCCGACCCTGAAGAAACCTCTTTACCACTTTTTCGAAAAACCCCGTGCTGTAGTCTTTTAGAAAAACCTCGACAGGGAGCTCATTTCATAACCTGAGCGTCTATTGAAGGAAACATCTCTGAAAAATCACTGTCGGCAACCATCCGGGTTCTGAGCTATGGAGGTGAACTCCCTATCTATGGCGAGCTGTATGATGGTAGAAAGTGTCCGTGGGCATAGTACTGCACAAATCTTTGAGCACAGTCCGTTGTGCAAACGGTAGAATACGCAGAGTAAGGTGAAATCTCTCCTAAGATTTAAGTTTTCAATACTGCTTCTAAGAACATAACATAACCTACAAAGACAATTGTTTGCTTATCCATTCACCTGAATGAAATAGTTAATGTAACTTGAACATTAGATCAATCGGTTACACCCGCTGACATAAACAGAAGAAGTCAGCGCCCTCTATGTTTACATAAGTCGAAGTCTATCAAGGTGCAAGAATAACATTGAGTCGTTGAACCGCAGGTTGCTTTGAAAAAGCCGGTGAGCATAAACAAAATACAAAATAAGCCTCGTTTATTTATTTTACTCCGGTAACAGTCTTTATTTTTTTTTTTGGATAATGCAACGGGGTTGATCTCTATGTGATAATTAACATGGGTACTTATGGGCAGAAATTCGTCCGTGTGGTGAGGAAATGAGAATAAAATAAATAATTTATCATTTGTCATTACTATGATGATTATATGATGTCGTAAGAGTCTGATATAAGAATGAGAATTCAATATAATATGGAACCAGAGCAAGCGAAAGATAATTTGAAATAAATTTAATCACTTAATCAGTATGGTAATGATAGACTGAATATATTTCTCTTATTTAATAGAACATGTACCTAGCAGTTGGATATCAATGGATTATTGTGATAGGTATCTTATCAATATCTTATGTTACGTTCTTATAATGGGTTGTAATAAATTTAATAAAACAATAGCACAAAAAGCATTTAGTCAAGTGGCAACACTAGACTGATTATATTGCTCACGCAGGACTGCGTAGATGCGTAGTCAATGACGTCATCAGTTTACGAATTGATTACACTCCTCTTTCCATCCTTCGGCCACCACGAAAAGAAGAAATTATACATACGCTTTGGGGTTGCCAATAACAGATTATAATAAAAAAAAAATATCATCATTATTTAATTCCAATTAAAAGTTGGTGATTACTTGCTTTCTAACAATATTAAGTACTTATATACCAAGTAAGGTACTGCTTCGCATATTTTTTTGTAGGTACGACAATTATAACAGTTATGTAATTAATATATTGAAATGTTGGACTATTAAGACATGTTTCTTTAACTGTACCAAAAGAATACTGTCATAGTATAGCAATAGTGCGGAAACAGGACAACAATGTTGCATTTGAATATTTTACTCTTAAAAATAAAATAATATTTGGGCTTATTTGGCGGTAACATATTGGCAACACTGACGAGTCAATGTCAAGGACTCTGAATGTAAATAGACAAAATCGATCGAATCTCAAAGCCGGTTGTTATTTTGACTAACAAATAAAAACACAAGTGCAATATTTATTTGGAAGTCACTACCTCACTAATAAAGATGTCGATGGGAAATAATCTGTTATTCATGGAATTATTTATTGATAATGTGAAAAAACATCCCTGTCTGTGGGATATGAATAACATTTCCTTTAAGGACCCAACACGGAAGGATTTAACATGGGAGCTTGTGGCCCAGGAATGTGAAATGGCTAATGGTTAGTATCTTATATTTAATCTAAATAGTTATTTTAAATTTTCATGTTAATTAAATTATTTACCTAAGACATTACACGACATAATAATCGTGTTTTTTTTTTTTATATTGTGGCGCGCAAATGTGCAAAGCATTTCGTCCTAAATATAAACAAGTTGTTTGGTACAAATCTACCTGATGGTAAGCGGAAACCGTCGCTTATAAACAGGAACCACTGTTCCATGTCACTACATAGATACCACAGAATTTCCATGGTACCGCGTCCATTTTGCTTATCGAGGTAAAAGCTAACTTTATCAAGTTACAGTGTTTACATTTACAAAATTTAATTAAAATGAGTTCAATTGACGATAAGCATGAACGAATACTATGGGCCGATGCCATTTTTAGATATTAAGTTGATCATGTATACTATATTCAGAGATGTAAATAAAAACAGTGCCTTTAAATCTCGAAAAACATATTCATTTGGACTTATACCCCTTGTAGGATAAATTGTTGACTTTTCACTTGACATACAATACTTTATATAACAGTTTAGAGATTGTAGTTGGTTGTATGTACCTTTTTCTATAATTTTTAGGCATTTTACAATTTCTTAATTTTTTTTTTCTGTAACATATTTTATTGACTATTGTTCTCAGTAATAAATCTAGTATTGATTTTGCAGGCCAAGAAGCCAAATCACAATGGAAAAGGCTACGAGACTGTCATCGCGAAGCATTACGTATACGGAATACCACCACTGGACAGGCAACCCGCATGTTCAGTCCATGGAAGTATGAGCAACTTATGGATTTCCTCCTGCCACAGTTAGGAATGAAAGAAACTACTACAAATTTCTCTGAAGACCCCATCTTGGACAATGATGGTCAATTTGAAATCTCATTACCATGCCCGACAGTTACGGATTCATGTAAGTGCAGAGGTATAGAAAATATGATGGAAGAAAGAGAGAAGAGGCGAGAACAAAGGCAAATAGAAAGAGATGGATTTAGAAAACAAATTGTGGAGGCAAATCGTTTTCCAATTGATGCTGTGTCAGAACTCTTTTCCAGTTTGTGTCGGAAGACGAGGGAGCTTCCTATTTCGTTACAGTTGCGAGTACAAAGGGAAGTTTTTGAATCAGTTTCCCGTGCTGAAGAAGATGCCTTGTCACTCAGGCAGCCGGAAAACCTAATATACACCCCAAATTCCTCTCCATCTTCATATGAATGTATGAATTCTAACGCTTCAAGTTCTATGGTTCTGCAGCAAGCAGAAGAAAAAGTAGATGAGGAATTATCGATTCAATCTGCTATTTAATAGATATAGGTAACAGGAGAAGTTAGGCATATTTTTTTATATGCCAAATCTATATTTAGGAATTTTAAAATATACTAAATTGATTTTTTTTTATTGAATACACAATTTTTACAAATATTCTTATCAATAATACTACTACTAGGAAATATTTATTTTTTAGAAAAAAAAATAGATGACTGTTGTTATGTACCTAATAAATATATAATAATAATAATAATAAGTAAATTATAAAAATTATAAGTTTATTAGAAAAAAGGATGACAGTTCTTATGTACCTGCATAAGTTAAGTAAGTAGTAAGTATATTTAGTGCCCTTATATGTGCAATAAAAATTTTAGAAATAATTTATTTAATCTCTGTTTTCAAATAAGAGCCCTATTAGTATAAGTAGAGACCAGAGGGAGACTTTGTACAAAAGTCGGTACCTCTGTCCCATTCGTGTTTCAACCGTGAAGCAGTTGTGTTTGCATGGCTGTGTTTCGGTTTGAAGGGTGGGATATGGTGTGAATTTACTGGGTACAGAGGAATAACACCTGAGTCCTCAGGAATGGCAACGCATGGGGGGTATCATGGGCAAAACTATATTCTGTTATGTCCATGATACTGCTCATGTCTATAGGCGACGGTTCCACTTTCCATCAGGTGGGACGTCAGCTTGTTTGCCATTCTAAGTTGTAAAAAAAAAAATAAGTGTCATGTGAGTATGATTTACAAGATATTTTATTAGCGTACAAATCTTGGGTTCAGTCAATGTAATGTAAACTAAATATAAATATAAAATAATAACTTTAAGCATTTTACAATTTTGTACATCTTTTATTACAATTTTGCTATATTTTTTTACACAAACTTAATTTAGAATTTAATATTTGTTACACAAAATCGTCATGACAGTATACAAATGTCATTTCGATTGATATTGATTGTAAAAGTGACGTGTACAAATAGCTAATTGTCAAACAATATTTTTTAAATGTTACTCATGTTTCTATTTAGTAAATAATAAACTAATTTTATATTTTAAGCTATTTATTGAAATAAAAATCTTAGCTAAAAGATATTTTTGGTTTTTTACTCTTATTTTATGTTTCTTATATTCTTTTACCTTTAATTAATTTATTTATTTATTAGTACATATATGTGTACACGGCGGACTTAATGCTAAAAGCATTCTCTCCCAGTCAACCATAGGGAAGTGTCAGAATACTCGAATGCGTACTACTAATTATTGATATACATACATACTAAAATTACACTTACTTTTAATCTAAAAATTTAGTTTTTTAATAGTATGATATAAATACTATCATAAAATTTTAAATGTGGCTCGATAACAATCTGTCATATGACTTTTAAACCGACTTCATAAAAGGAGATTGTCAATTCAGTAATATTTACTTTTGTTACTTAATTTTTTTTTTTAATAAATTAAAGTTAATATAAAATTCCTTAAATACTAATACTAATTATAAGTAATCCCCCAACGCAACACAGAGGCAGCGTACCCAAGATACTGGCAGCATTACCTCTTTGGATTGCCAAACTTATCTTTTGGGCAAAGTAGCTACCAGCTCTTGGGTCACCAGTAACCTCGATGAGGCGCGCTGCGATCGTCCGAATATCGTCTTCATTTTTAGGTTTGTTACTTCAAAACTCCGTTATTTATAAACTGATTTGGTATTTTTTTTATCTGAAAGGACATGCTTTTAGATTGATCCTAAAGAAATAAAAAAAAATTGGTTAAAGTAGTTTAGTTTTTTTATAACTGGTTTGGCCACGATTGAATACGCTGTTTTTTGTGGAACGTAATCTTAAATTGTAAATAAATTACAACGCTCTAAGTATTCAAAAGGCCGGCAGCACACCTGCAATGCCGTTGGTGTTGTGGGTGATCATGGGTGGCGGTAGTCATTTACTATCAGGCGAGTGGCATGCTTCTTTACCCCCTGTGTTATAAAAAAAGTATATTTAAGAGGCAAATTTAAATACTGCTCATGTCTATAGGTAACGGTTACCACTTTCCATCAGGTGGACCGTCAGCTTGTTTGTCATTCTAAATTATATAAAAAAAATTAAATAATATAGTTTTTTTCTCACTGCCATTATAAAAATAAGAGTCTGCATGCCATGAGTTTGCTTACCTATTACATCGTGAAAATGCAATGCTATACTAAATCATATATTTTTCTTTTTTTTTTATGCAACTTAGAATGGCAAACAAGCTAACGGCCCATCTAAAAGAAAGTGATAAGTCGTCTATACACATGAACAATGCCGTGGACATAACAGCGTATACTGCGTCGACCATGGTACCCTTTATGTATAGGTAAAAGCTTTCTATAGCGATTACATGATACCTAGACATTTATAAATATGTAGGTATTTCCTCTCTCTCATTCTCGCCATGGTGAATTTGCTCTTCGTGCAGATTTTTAAACAAATATCAATATACCGCTTACGAGTATTGACATGTTTAAGTAAATAGGGGGAATTATTTGCAATAAGCATACAGCGCAAAAGCGCTTTATGTTGCAAATTAAATGGGAGTTAGAGATATATATATTTCAAAAACTAGTCATGTGACTAGGTAATTATTTAAAAAAAAAAACACATTGGATATTCTTATGTGTATATTATATTTATATTGTGTATTGCCTTAATGTGTTACTATAATTGTCACATATTTTTCACCACATCTGCCCTTCATACGCTTTCTGTTTTTACTCAACGGTTAGCTGGTAGAGAATGCCATATGGCATTAAGCTCGCCACTTGTACAAAATTTTATTGTGCAATAAAGAATAAATAAATAAATCAATAAAATATAAAGTTCACAATTTTTTTATTGTGACTTTGATTGCGTAGTTTTAGTAACTGTTATAATTACGAATTTTAAGGGTAGCCAACTCGCGCGTTATACCCTAGGTATTGAAGGCCAGGCGTTCGTAGGCTACGATAACCGTTTACCGTCAGGTGGGCCGTATGCTTGTTTGCTACCTCAGTGGTATAAAAAAAATCAAAACTATGCATCACGTAAAATTGTATAAAAAATGTACCAGTTTTTCTCGAAGCATTTGTATAGAGACAATATCTATTTAATCTATGGTCGTGCTGTAATAAAAAAAGGTGACTTCCCGCAAATGCGATTGCTTTTTGTTTTCGGTGATCTGTTTTGATTTCGAGTCATCAGTAAAGATAATGCTCCCAGAAAGTATTTTATAAAATGTATTCTTCTGCATATATTTCGGAGACTCGAAGTTGAAGGCGCAGTTGAGCATCCTCCTAAGTCGGACAGAGGTTGAAACCGCATTAGCTGAAAATCACACAAGAAAAATCTAAGACAACTAATTATTTTTGTGTACACGTAAACACAATAAGCTGAGGGCCTACCATGAAATGTTTTCCGAAATTTCGGAGCCAAACGAAACACAAATTTGATGTTAAAATTACATAATACTTGCCGTTTGGAAATATTAAAAATGTTAAAATATTGTTCCTTTGGACTTTTATAATAGGATGTATGACGAACGAAATGTTAAACACCATTTATTGGTCCGATTCTGGTATAAACAAAAACACGAAATTGTGTCCGAAATTTCGGAATTTCATTTCATGGTAGACCCGCTGATTATGTACAAGATCTATTCACTTCGCACACAATATTGCTTGCTCTTATTAAATATAAAATAAATATGAAACACGTTTTTCTATTTATATCGAATTTATAAAATCTTAGTTTCCAATAATAAATATATTACGCCCTTCACCGAGGTCGGAACTGAATTGATTAAAAATATCAAAGGTGAATATATTTCGTTAAAATTAGAACAACAAAGTGTGTAAAAGGCGGTGGAAGAAAGAAATATTGTTCGGAATATCGAAAATATTGAAATATTTTGCGGTTAAATAAATAGGGCAGCCGCCACCTGCGGATGTTTGTTATGGATTTATGTGCATACCTATCTAGTGGTATTGGTATTACGTGGACTGCGACTATGTTTTCAACCGACTTCAAAAAGAAAGAGGTTGTCTATTTTGTTTTTTTTTAATGGATGATAATGGAATGGTAATCCCACCCGCGCTTTCGGTATACATCGGCGGGGCATCAGTGAAGGATGATAGATGAGGATGAAGCAGGTCAGTTAGCCCATCGTGACGAATTCAACAAGAATTGTTCACGACGGTTTCCAGGGGGAACTACGTGGAAGTCGACCTAATAAGGCATATTGCTAGCAATGGGGCTGTCAAACTCCATTACTAACAATCCCTTTCCCCCCTATTCGGTTGTATTTTTTTTTATGTAAATGTCAGTTATAGTAATAATATTTATTTGTTCAGGCCCACAACATAACGTTCATTTTATTAGTTATAACTTTACTTAACCTTTTTTTTTTTATAGAACTTAGAATGGCAAACAAGCTGACGGCCCACCTGATGGAAAGTGGTAACCGTCGCCTATAGACATGAGCAGTACCATGGACATAACAGAGTATACTGTTTCGCCCATGATACCCCCCATGCGTTGCCATTCCTGAGGACTCAGGTGTTATTCCTCTGTACCCAGTAAATTCACCTATGTTAGTAAATGAGCGGTCATGACGCTCTTGTATTAATAACCTATCCCACCCAATATTTTAGGATGGGACAGTCCATATAAACCGATTTTTTTGATGGGTGAAAGTGGTATGGTAACTCCGCCTGTGCTAACGGGATACGCTGGCGGGACACCAGTGAAGGGTGATAGATGAGAATGAAAACAGGCCTGTTAGCCCATCATGCACAATTCGTCAGGAATTAACCATGATAGTTTCCAGGGAAAACCGCGAGGAGGTCGACCTGGTTGGGTATATTGCTAGCAATAGGATTCTCAGTCTCCATTACTGACAATCCCTTTCCCCCCAATATAAACCGATTTGAACTTTTTTATCTGAAAGTATAAAAAAGTAGGTACCTATGTTCAAATTAGTTCCATAAACGGTTTATCAAAACTAATTTGCTAATTTAGTTGTTAATTGGAGGCGGTTTTTTGTAGAAAACAATGTTATATTAATATTATTTTGTTATTCTTCTCATATGAGCATTAAATTAAAGAGTTTAAAAACAAATAGGTAACAATAAAATAAATGACATCACGTTAAAATGGCCGCAGTCACAAGATGGCGGATTAGGTTACAAAAGCATATTTTTAAATTACTTATTTTTTCTATTGGAATATATAACTTTTTTTTAACATAGAGTAGACTAGTTGAAAGATCTACAGATATAGGATTCTTGTAAAAGTAATGAAGTGAAATCCGTATTTAAATTTCCGAACTCGATGGCTTATTACCGTGGAATATTGGTCTGATTATGCATCCTTTTCCTTCGTTCCCGCACAAAGGGATCGGGAGATTGGAAGGGAATTAGATGCAATTTCATTGACTCGAAACGAGAATACCATTTCCGTAGTCTAGCACTCGCTGTTAAAATATGATTACTATATATTTATTTATTTATTCATTAGTATAAATATGTGTACATGGCGGACTTAATGCTAAAAGCATTCACTCCCAGTCAACCATAGGGAAGTGTCAGAATACTCGAATGCGGTACTAGTAATTATTGATATACATACATACTAAAATTACATATATAAACGAATAAATATATATGAATAACAAATATACTTACACATATATGATATATACTATATTATGTACGAAATTAAGAATAATATAAAGCATATATACTATATACTTCTATTTATTTACTCTTCCAACGAGAACTTATTGTACACTTTTTGACGTATGTACTCATACAATACTATACAAGCAGCGTTTTCAGTAATTAACTACATACACTAGATTTGTTTTTTTATACAACTTAGAATGGCAAACAAGCTGACGGCCCACCTGATGGATGGGATGAAATTTCAGTTTATTTTAGATGATGGTTGGGATGAAATTTTAGTTGAATTGGCTGAAACTTTATGAAGGTATTAAGTACGTAATTATCATTTAAGTATATAATACAAGAAACGAATTCATGAAGAGTTGCAAT